TTCTGTCTTTTCCAGCTACCCAACCAAGTTCTGCTCCCTCACTTGTGATGACAGAAAACAGCTGAGTAAAAGTCGGACCGACTGATTTTGCACTTAGTAATGCAGGTTGATGAGTGACAAACATGACGTTATGTGAGGACTTTATTTTTCCTGGGCTCTTTCCAGCTTACAGATAAACAGTGAAGAAAGACCAAAGTTTTTAGTGGATGAAACATATTTTCTGATTTGGACCTTTTGTGTTAGTTACATTTTTTAATAACTTGCTTTCACTTTGTTTATTTGACTCTGCTTGGTTTCCTTCATGACAAGTCTTCAGAGGTTCTCCGTGGTTTCTCTTTTGCATAAAGGTTAATAACTCTGCTTCCACTTCTATTCCTGTGTGACTGGACCTTTAATTTGCTCCTTTCCCACCATCAGTTGAATCTTGTGACACCGACGAGTTGTGTAGGAATTCTTGAAACGTGGGAATTTTAGCTCAAGTACTGCAGAATGTGTGCTGTATCATGTCTCCTTTAGGCACATGGAGAGGGTTTTATCCCTTTTCACACCCAGCTTGTGGCTTGTCGACATTGACGGGCAGAGCATCATCTTGGGTTCAAGGAACAAGTAGCACCTGATCTGCTCCGTGGACTTGGACTTAACAGAAGGGCTGGGTGACTATGAAACATTTGTGTCAGTTGGTTGAAGGCCCAAGTATGTTGAAACATTCCTGGGCCAGTGCTCTGAACATGCACCCATCAAGCTTTGTGCTTTGGAAGATAAACCGCAGAGCTAAGAAGCCATGTTGGGAGGGAAAGGGGTTGGGCTGTGGGAGATGTGGGGTCAGGCCCTGGTAGAAAGAGCAGGGGTGTTGAGGCGGGCCTTCTACCACACAGTGCAAGCAAATAGGAACTGTTAAATCTGTTCCCTTCGCAGACTGGACATTGCATAGCACCACCTTACTGGTACAGGGCTGCCTGCGCCTTGCTCTCTCCAGTCTGCACTGTTGTGACATTGACTGGCCCTCTGGGCTCCATACTTGCTGGTCCCAAGCATCTTATTTTGTTAAGCTGGTTTAACACTCATAAAAAACACCAGCGTGGTATTTAGGGTCTAGAAGCGGGGTCTGAGACAGGCGATGCGCCATTTGGTCGGGGGTGAGGTTCTTTCGTAGCTTGCCTTTGTGGTGGTGTGAGCACCCACCCGCGCTGCCATTCACTCTTGTTGCTGAACCTTTCATGCGTTGCACCACCTGGAAGGCTTAACACACACGAGCTACCAAATGTTGGAGGTGTGTGCAATATGTATTAGATTTACTCTTGAGGTTTTTCCCTTCTTTTAGATTTAAGGCAAGACAGCATGACTATATTTCAAAGGAAAGTGTTGAAGGTAAATGCAGACTAGAACCAGAAAGCAGGGTTAGTAGTGCAGAGCACGCACAGGATCATGCTCATGATGCTATGACCTGCGAGCCTTTTGTCACTTTCATCACCCCTGCATTTCTGTTTTAAGGGAAGATGGGGATAATAAAACAAAGCAAGGCTTTATTTTTCACTAATTCTTCTCCTTGTTTTAATAGAGATTAATTGCTGATACTCAAAGTACATGTCAAGAATTTAAAAGTCACTTGTCAGTAGAGTGGACTTAACTTTAGGTAATAATATCTTGTGTATGGGAAGTAAGGTAATTTTAAATGTTATGCCGAATTTTTAGAGTTCCTAACTCTTCTCCTGAAAGCAACAAGAAAATAAAAATTTACTTGCCATATTCTTAGCTTGTCAGTAAATGTCAGCACTCTGAAAACAAAAACAAAATATAGCTTTTAACCCAGCATAATCTTAGCACATGGCTTTTCAGAACTAATGAGTGGCCAGTATTTTACTGTAGTGTAAATCGTTATCTCCTAGTCCTTTTGTGTTAGAAATACTCTGATTTTTTTTTTTAACCCAACATACTTAAAAAGTTCTATAACATAACTTTGTAAAATTAAAAATAAGTGTGAATTGTTTTGCTTGGATCATGGTCTTGGAGGAACTGGAGAGAACGTGGCTGATAGAGAACTGGTATAGGGACATCAGGCATTGCTTGGAGTCTCCTGTGGACTTCGTAGATGGAGGTGTGTTCTGGTCAGGAAGCAGTGGCCCCACCATGCTGTCTTTAAAGGCACTAGTGCTTTATTTTCCGTGACCTCATTTTCCTTGAGCTCAGAAGCCTGTCTTCTAATACTTAAAAGAGCGGTGCGTTCTGAGTACCTGCCACCTTCAGTTCTTGGGTTACAGTCCTCAACAGTGAGGCTGTGTTTTTTGTCCACTTAGAGACATTTTTTAAAACATTAAGCATCTACTGTGTGCACAGCACTGACTTAGGTGTACTGGATGTTGTAACTAGTTATTACATAGTTTTAAAGTGAACTAGAGGGAGGAAATCGCCAGCAACAAGAATCTTCTGCTGGGCAAGGGAGGGAGGGACCAGCTGCTTCTCACTATTCAGCAAAGTCTAGGTTCTGTACAGACCACCTGCGTAGAGTAAAATGGAGCGTTTTCTTCTCCTTTATTCTAAATGGATGGCAGAAAATCATCAATTATTTTCTGCTCACATTTAAAAGTGTACACTTTGATACATGTTGACATGTTTACACCCATGAAATCATAAAACCGAAGAGAATCCTTCCCTTCCCTCTTTCCCCAGTCACCTCTGATCTATTTTCTGTCACTATAGATTAGTTTCTATTTTCCAGAGTTTTATATAAATGGAATAGTTTGTACTTTTTTTGTCTGGCATTTTTCACTCCACATAATTATTCCCACATTCATCCATGTTGTATGTATCAACAGCTCATTCTTTTTTAATGCTGGATAGTATTCCATGGTATGGATATGCCACTATTTGGGTGGTTTCTGGTTTTTGGCTTTATATGTAAACTTAGAACATTCTTTATGTCAGTGATAATTTAAGCTTAGCTTTCCCCCCAGTCTTGCCCTTTCTGCAAAGGAGAGTTTAATATTAATTTTTCTCTTCCTCCTTTTGCATTAGGCAAATTAAAAGGAAGAGAAACAGACTATTTCTGGGTGGACCAGCGTTTCTCTTTGGTAATACAATTAGATGCCAAATTTGTAGCAGTTTTGAATATCTGTTTTTAAAAACAGGCAACATTTTTCAAGAATGTGAAAGCAGTCCTAGGAAAAGTTTCAAAATGATCACCATTCCTTGGATTGAGTTCTGTGCCAGCTGCATGGAACCTTGGGAACCAGCCTGGAGGTTGTCCCTAACACTTCAGCTAGCAATTCACAGTAGAGGGGCCACCCCATTCCGCCCTGCATCTCGGCCCCCTCCCCGGGCTCCTGGGCTGTCCGTCCAGAGTATGCCTGTGCTCTTCCCCTGTTCGGGCCCAAGGACTGGAGGGGGCGAGACAGGCCTGTCTAGCTGCCCAGCGGCCTTCCTCTCTGGGTTCCTCATTTGGTTTCTGTCTTCCTTTTTCCAATAATGACCAGATTTAGAACTTCCTGCAAGTCAGACTTACCCCAGTATGCCCAGAATATTCCTTTCAGTGTAGGAGTGAAACGTTCATTCAGGGCTCTAATACTGAACCACTCAGTAGGGTTACTGGTAGGAAATCTGTTCTGCTGGCCTAAGAGCACAGTCAGTTGACCCAGTAAACAAGCCTCAGGACAGGTCATCAACGGTAGTGCTCTTGCCTGTTGAGGGACACTTGGCAATCCCCTTAGTCTCCGTCATGGCAAATCTGATGATAGGCTTACCCGCAGAATCTATTTCTTTATATCCCCAAGGTCTTAAGGGTGCTTTGATTGTGTCCCTTGTCTCTGGAATCTGTAGAGATAAGAGTTTCCTGTTGGAGTGAAAAGTGATTTTGTTGATAGAATGGCAGTCCCCCTCAGGTTTTAGCTTTTATTTTGGGGGGAGGGAGAGTGGTGTTAATTTATGGGAAATGCTACAGTCTGTTGAACATGGAGGAGAGTTACTAGGAAGGTAGACACACTGCAAGTAGTTAGGAGGGTGGTTTCGGATCTCAGGCAGTGATGCAGCATCCAGAAGAGACTGGAGGCCGTGACGGGTGGAGAAGAGGGGCTGAGGTGCTGGGCAGCTGAGTCCACTCGGCCATTAATTGGATGTGTGCTGAGCGAGGAGAGTTTAGAATGACTCTTGAAGAAGAAAACGAGGTTTGAATAAAACATTGAGGCCAGTTACTGTAGTGCTGAGGTGACCCAGCACTGATTGATGTCTGATCTGAAGGTGAACATGGACCTGGTGGTCGTGTGGGAATGAAGGTCTGACAGTCTCCCGGGTGAGACTCTGGGTGTGGACGCACCCTCCCCGGGGAAGGAGGCCTGGAGCAAGAGGACTCAGACACTGTGGCATTAAGGAGACACAGGCGGCCTGGTGGGGCTCCCAGTTCCCTTGATTTAGTGGGGGAAGGGGCCACACGATGCGATAAGAGCATCCTGTCCTCTGAGCTCAGAGAAGAGCCGATGCCGGCAGGCATTTTCTGGGAGAGGGGAGCAGGCACTTTTAAAGGTGATGTGGCCGCAGCCCCTAGTCTGTGGCAGGCTGGAGTTTTCCTGTTCTAGGAATTGCTAAGTTCTTTTGTGGAGTCAAAACTTTTTTCCTCATGTTTTGGGGTATGGATTTAGGATATAGCACAATGATGTTAGCGTTTAAAAAGTTCCTGAAAGTTTTGAAGTTTCTGGATTTATATTTACCACTGTGAGACTCTGAACCTCTTAAGAAATGCAGGCTTATGGATGAAGGCACCACCCCCATGGTGTTCTTGAGCGGCCTCTTCCCTTTGCGTGTGTGTGGCACAGCGGCCCTCAACACTGGGTGCGGGCTGGCTTGCTGTGGGAAGTGAGTGTGGTGGGAGTGGAGCAGCTCCTGGGGAGAGGGGAGAGCTCGGTGGGGCACCAGCCGTCTCCTGGGGTGGCACTGAGGGCGCCTTGCTGCGAACACTCCGTGGCTTCTGTACCTCTGATTGACTGCTTTTCTTGGGACATTTGTGTCTTCAGGCCTGTCGACTACCTGGTCCCAGAATTCCCGGTCCCAGCACGGGAGAAGTTCATGCTCCAGACCTGAAGATCGAAAGCCTTCAGAGGTATTTCCTGAGTGCTGGCATGACTGTGCCTGTTCTGCATGTGTGTGTGAGTGTGTGTGGTTGACACACACACCTGGTTGTTGGCATTGATGTCAGTGCGTTCTTGGGTAACTTATGTAACCCCTCTCTTCCTCAGTTTCCAAATCTGTAAGATGGGGATAATACAGGTGTTCACCTGACAGGATCCTTATGAGGATTAAGAGGATTAATACACAGAGGTAAATTGTGCTCAGTAAATGTTAGTTGTTATTAATTATATTCTTCAGTTTTTTTGACTGAAAAATCCCATGGACAGGAGCCTGGCGGGCTACAGTCCATGGGGTGCAAAGAACCGGACACGACTGAGCGTGCACGCACTGTAGGAAGCTGGTACCTGTGTGGGAGCAGCCGTCCCCCCCAGCTAGAACCCCTCCCGCTGTCAGCACTGGGCAGTGTGGGTGTTGTGGCCTTGGCCCTGACCTGTGTTTTGTTCCAGGCTGTTGTTGTTTTTAAGTTTCTGAGTTGAAATGACTCCATGCTTGAAGTGCTGAGGTTGAGCCCTGCTGGGGACCTCTGAGCTCACATCCCTTTGAGGGCGTCTGCCTCAGTCTCGAGCACCCCCTCCCGAGTCTCTAGTGCAGGAAGAGTGGACTGACTGCTTTTTCTCTTCTTGTTGCTTCAGTTTGATTTTTTTTTTTCCCCCTTCTTTGGCAGATTCCCTTATTAACTACTGATACTCATCAGGCTTAATTGGAATATGTTTTTAAGTAATCTGCTTCCAGAAGATGTAGAGCTGAGACTTGAAGGGACTTGTCTCTTCGGGGGAGGGGAGGGTGTGACTGATAGTTCACGACCCCTGGGGCATATGGGCCCCTGGTCTCACCTGTGCTTTTGTGGAAGGTGCACAGCCCACTTCCTGCCAGTTCCTGGGACTTCAGTGACACACAGGGGGAAAGTCCAGATCCAAAATGGCAGGCTGGAGACACGGCCCTTTTATTCAGACACTGCCTCAGACTTTATTATGGTGAAGTTTATTAAAGTGATCACCAGCCTGAAAAGTCACCAGGAAAAACAAATATGGACCTATTCGCAGGCATATAATGTGAGCTGTACTTCGCAGCACAAGAAAGAACTCCCTGTCCCAAGAAGAGAGAGTTCAGCATTGTGACTTGTGTAAACAGAGAATATAGCTTACAGATGCAGGCTCACTTCGTGCCAAATACAACTTGGGATGTTGCTAATGCCAGGGTCAGTGCTTCCTCCTGTAGCGCTGAGACCCGCACGGACTGAGGCGAGGCCCTGGTGGGGAGTCTCCATCAGGAACAGCCCGCATGCGGGGGTCCCCTTTGTGGTTGGTCCCCCCTTGACCTGCGATGAGGCCTTGAGGTGCTCTCTTGGCAGAGGGTACCTTGGAATCTGTGGTCTGTTTTTGGCAGAGTGAGGAGAGGCGGGTAGCTTGCCTTCTTCTTTTCGTCTCGTCCTCCGCTTCTTCCCCCACAGATGCTGCTCTCCTGGCAGAAGTTACACTAGGCGAGGGAGCGCAGACACAGTATTCACAAGCTCCTTTCTGCCTGGACTCTCCTGCTCTGTTGTTGCTTCTCTCCTAGATTTTTGCAGCCTTTGCTCTGCCTCGCATTGGCCACCCAAAACCCGCCTTTCCAGACACCTTGCCAGAAGCCCTGGTGCCCAGCGGGCAGGGCCGGGTGGACGCAGCCTGAGGGTGGGAACAGAAGCCTTGGTGGCCCTGGGTTTTGGCTTGGTGTTGTTACATGGTTAGTGGAGTTCTAGTTCTTAAATATTTACCAGGAAGGTGCCCTTGAGTGAAATGTCTCCTTCCAGGGGTTTTTAGACACATTGTCTTCAGCAGCCTGCTTGCTGAATTGGGAGTCTCTTAGCAGTTTCCCAGGAGGACACTGAGGTTCCTGAGCCTTGGTGGCTGGCGCAGACATGGCCGTCTTGCAGAGCCAGGCAGGGGGTGAGGGTACTGAGCTGCTGCCGCTCCCGTCCTGAGCACGGCCCAGGGTGTGGCAGGCCCAGGGCTTTCCTCAGTAGGTCAGACTGGTTCTCTGTTGAAACAGTGACCTGGTTACATGGCAGCACCATGGTTACCCTGCAGCTGCCAGTGCTCTGAAGAAGAATGCAAATACCCAGTGTCAGTGACCCTTTTCTCTCCCTGTCCAGGTGTTCAGGACAGACCTGATCACTGCCATGAAGCTCCATGACTCCTACCAGCTGAACCCGGACGAGTACTATGTGCTGGCGGACCCCTGGAGACAGGAATGGGAGAAAGGGGTCCAGGTGCCAGTGAGCCCTGGGACCATCCCCCAGCCTGTGGCCAGGTAGACGTACCTGGGAGAGGGGCTACCCCTCCCGCAGCAGTGGTCTTCCTGCCCCGAGAGCCAGCCGGCTGCGGGGAGCACTGTTGGACTTAGCAGTAGGGTTTCTGGGGGAGTGAGAAATGGTCCAGAGGTGGTGCTGTGGGCCTCCACCTTGGGAAGGTGCTGCTCTCCTCGAGAGGAAGGTAAATTCCAGGACTTCCTGGGAAGTGGGGGGCGGGGTGGGACACCTGGATGTAGGCACAGTGGCTCCTTCCTCTCTTGAGGCTGCTTTCCTGGGGAGGGGTGTCTGCCTCCACCTCAGGGGGAGGACGGGGGTGAGCAGTCCTGTCAGGTTAGGGCTGTGTGGATGGGACCTTAAGAGTCCTCCTTGGATAAACTTTGCCCACATGTTCTTAGAGACTTTCTATTGATTTTACTTCCAAACCTCTTTTCCCCTGAAAGGTTTTGAGGGTCGGTCTTTGATGACCCGCCTCAGCATGAAGCTGGGCCTGTTTGCTCGCCTGTCTGAGGCTCCTCCCAGGGAGGGAGCACCTGGCTTCACTGCCTTCTTGTTGTCAGTCAGCTGCCTGCTTTGCGAAACGTCCTCTTTCACCATCACTGAGTGTGGACTGAGCTTACCCTCACCCCCATCATGTCCTCAGGCACTTGCGATGATCGAGTCTGATTACTGGGTTAGGGGTCCCTGGGGCAAATGTCCCCATAACTGCGCAGGATTAAATGACCCTCCCAGGCCGGACTGCCATCTCTGGGGAGCGAGTGGAGAGTTCACTGGGCTCTTCAGGAGTCGCCCACCCCTGGGACATGGCACCACGGAACTGCTCGGTGCTGGCGTCCCCATCCCAGGCGTTCTGAGCCCAGCAAAGGACAAGTAAACACCCACAGAGCTTGTGGAAGTTTTCACCTGAAACCCTGCCCTTAGTTGAGTAGGAGGAAAAACCCTCTTAAATTTGCCTATCTCAGTGTCATATATTAATAGATAAAGTCACTCTGGTATTATAAGGGTGATGGAAATACTCTGACAGACTCCTTGGACAGCTGGGTATTAATGCAAACTGCCGGCGCCCTGAGACCTGGAGGTGGACGGACAGTGTGGATGTGAGGGGCTCTGGGCCACCATGGCTCCAGTCAGCAGCAGTGGTTGGACCGTCTCACGTGCTGTCTTTCTCCTGAGCGGGTGCGAGGACAGCATTCTCCAGGTGTTCGTGTGAGGAGCAGAGGGATCTTGCCTTCTGTCCTGGGATCCCCGGTGTGTGTTGGGATCCCGGCCTAACGTGGCCGGGACTCTGATTCTCAGGCTGCCTGGTAATGGTCGAGGCCCGAGTTTTAGCCCTGGAGGTGATGGTTCTCCCCTCGGCTCCCCAGCGCTCTGCTGTAGCCGCTGTCTGTGTGGCTGCTCTTGTCTCCCCCGTGTCCCAGAGAACCCCATGCTTCGTGGTCTCCAGCAGGGGCGGGCAGGCCTGGTTCGTGGAGGGAGCTTCAGTCGTTAACCCTTGACACTTAGGTCAGAGTGCATTCTTGTGTGTGTGCCCCGCTGTCAGATGGCGGCAGGCACGCGGGGTCCTGGGGAGCCACACGGAAGAAGCTGGTGGTGACAACTTCAGTTTTGTCACTTGTCATCTAGTTTTATTTTAGGGGCTTTAATGACTCCTACTTTATTTTATTAGCGATGTTAGGGTGTTAACTCTTAACCAGGCGGTGACCTGGGGTTTGGGGGTTGGAGGTGGACGCTCACCTGGGGCCTTCTGACAGACAGACTTGCTTCCTTGTGGCAGGAAGGGTAACCCGGCTGCCTTTTCTTCTTAACCAGGGTTGTATCTGAAGAGAAATCCCTCATGTTCATCAGGCCCAAGAAGTACATCGTCTCGTCAGGCTCCGAGCCTCCGGAGCTGGGCTACGTTGACATCCGCACGCTGGCCGACAGCGTGTGTCGTTACGATCTCAACGACATGGACGCCGCGTGGCTGGAACTGACCAACGAGGAGTTTAAGGAGATGGGTGAGAGACGGCTCTGTTGCCTTGGGATGAGTAGAGGCCTGCAGGTGAGGGGAGAAGCTCCTCACCTCCTGGGGCGCTGGCTCCATCTCAGCCTCAGACCTGCGCGTCCGGCTGCGGCAGACCCGGAGCCTGTTTGTGCTCCCTGGGCGAGTGGTGGGACTGAGGAGGGCTGTTTTCCATGGGGGAGGAGCAGGGCTCCTGGCTGCCACCCTGACCCACAGCCCTGAACCTGCCGCTTCCTTGCCTCCAGGAAAGCAAGGAGGCCGAGCTCTTCAGATCCCTTCTTCGGCACTGACCTGCTGTTTCTCACAGTAAACTCTGCAGCCAAGCACACCGTTTCCAAACACTTTCCAAAGCACTTGTGCGTTCACCTCAGCGATTCCCCTGAAGTCTTTTCCTAAACCTGAGTGCTCCGTCTGTCTGTCTGGCTTTCCCTGGGTGAAGCCCACCTTAGCGGTGCCCCGCCGCCCGTGATCTCTCTGCACCTCAGTCAGCTCCTGTGTGTGCAGCTCAGGGCGCCGCACCTCCTCTGCATGCGTCTCCTTGTGTCAGGACCGGGATGGCACGTGGGTCTCGGCTTACGCGCCGCTTCTGATTGTTGAGGGCTGCCTGAAGTGTGTGGGGTGGCAAGTCAGTGAGGCCCAGTCTGGGTTCCCCATGAGAGACTGTGAGGATTAATTAGCTTTGTGTGGTAGGTCAAGGTCGGGAAGTGGTGGCACAGGCTCTTTGCAGCCTAGCTTATGTAAGTATTTATGAAATGGTGAACGGATTTCAAAGCCCTGCAGGACTGAGACTGTGTGTGTATGGGTCCCTGAGCCTCACGTGGGGCCTGGCGTGTGACGGGTGATGCCGTGCCTGCTGCTCCCTAGACCCTGAATAAAGACCCTGTGGACTGAGCTAGGAATTTTGACAAAGCTGATTCGTTCCTCATGACCTTGCTTTTAGATATTAGTGGCTAGACTGTTAGCAGACGACGAGGTTGCTTTATAGAATCTGTTCAGAAGTTTTCTCTTGGAACAGAATACTATGTTTCAGCTTCATAGACTTTGTGGAAACCCCTGTATTCCACCAGACTGGCTCGGTGTCCTGAGTTAAGGCAGAGGGACTGATGGCCAGGGGCTGGGGGCTTCTGTGGATGGTTCAAGGGGTAGTGCTGGGTCTCTGTCAGACAGCGAGGCACTGCTGAGCACTTTGGCAGGATAAGTGATGCAGTTTTCTAACACGTACTGAACACATACTTGAAGACGTTTACCTTGGCTTTCATTGGTCTTTTTAATGGTGAAAATTAATTATAGGGTATAGGGTTGTATTTTCAAAGCCAGTGATGTTTTCAAAACTGGTAGGAAGAATTGAGATGAAAGCGTCTGGCCATGCAGAAACGATCTTGTTATTAAATAGGGTTTGAGATGAGAGGTGGCTTTTTTGAATATGTGTTTATTAGGGCCTATCACAGTGCCAGCACTATTGTGTTCTCCAGGTTTTTAAAAACTGGAAGTGTCAGTTAAATTTATGGTAATGCGTAAGAGTTGTTGGCTCTGATGACGTTTCTGTTGTTCCTTAGATGTGTTTTACTATTTTTTTACAGCCTGTTTTTTCTTTCTTGCATGAGTGTTTTCATTGCAGGAAGTTTGGAATATATCCACAAATGGAAGAAAAAAGTCTTATCCCACCACTAGTTAACCATGATAACCGCTTAAAGTTTATTCTTGGTCATTTCTTGCACAAGAATGCATTTTATTTGATTCACAAGGAGCTGTCTTTGCTTTAGACATTGCTTGTATTTCTGTCTTTCATGGGTCTGATTAGCTTATGCATCTCAACTAGTAAATTCAGAGGGTGAGGAGGGATAAACCAGGTAAAAACATTTTGAGTATTCACAGTGAAATCTGTTCTCAGCACCATTTTAAGCTGAAAAAATGGAATGGGTTTTGAAAAAATAACCAAGGCATACTATGCGGTTATGGTTTTGAAGTCTGTTACATGCTAGTTGTTATATATAATATTGTAATGAAATGACAGTCTAATGTATTCAATACTTAATATCCTTGAACCCTTTTGGGATTTATCTTTCACTTTTTTACCTTCCAGTGCTGTGTCTTCAGTACCTGATCATAAAGAACAAACTGTTGTGTAGATATGTCTTTCTGCCTTTTAGTGTAAAGATCCTTCCTTGAAAGGGTCAGAGAGACATTCAACAGATAATATTTGGGACACTCAGGATACATTTGTTTATGATATTCTTTGAATTCATTAGCATAACTAATATTATATATTCATATGGATTTATCAAAATAGATTTGTGGCATTTTTCCTCCAGGAATGCCCGAGTTAGATGAATATACCATGGAGAGGGTCCTGGAGGAATTTGAACAGCGGTGCTATGACAACATGAACCACGCGATAGAGACCGAGGAAGGCCTGGGAATCGAGTATGACGAAGATGTCGTCTGTGACGTCTGTCAGTCACCCGATGGTGAGGATGGCAACGAGATGGTGTTCTGTGACAAGTGCAACATCTGCGTGCATCAGGTAGGTGGGCAGCGGGGCCCGGGAGGAAGCCACAGACAGGGTCGGGGACGAAGGACGTGTGCCTATCTTTTTTCTTAATACCGGGTGTTTGAAGTATTTCTTGCTGCTTTTACAGCCAGGAGAATGGGATCCTGTATTAATTTTCTCGGGCTGCTCTAACAGAGTGTACTACCAGCTGGATGACTTAAAATGACAGAAATTATTGTCTTGCTGTCTGGAGACTGGAAACCCGAATTCAAGGTGTCGGCAGGGCCACACTCCCTCTGAAACCCGTAGAAGAGTCCCTCCTCAGCTCTTCTGGCTCCTGGCGGTTTGCTGACAGTCGTTAGCATTCCTTGGCTTTCACCTGTGCACCACTCTGGTCTCCGGCTTTGTCATCGCTTGGCGTCCTCACTGTGTGTCTCGGTCTTTACACTTAGCCGCCTTCTTGTAGGAAAACCAGTCACAGTGGATGAAGGGCCCTCCCTGCTCCAGTGTGAGCTCGATGAACTGCATCCGTTTTCTTCTGGGTTAGGACTGACTTTAACATAAACTTTTCGGACACAATTCGAAACGTCACTTTTGCTGACATCACGATAAACTGAGCCCCTTTTCTTGACCGTTACTTCCGGTCCTCCCTGATGCCAATAGGATTTGGCGGTTGCTTCAGTAAGGATGGGCATAGGGTAATTTAAAAAGCTTGGGAGACTCTCAGTCTTGACTCTTCTTTCATTTATTTTTTAATACAATAATAAAATAATCTGTATTTCTGTGGGGATGTGTGTTCATATAATCTCTTTAAAAGACTATTCTGAGGTACTTGCTTTGAGTTCACATGTTGATGCTGAGATGACTTGTGTGGGATGGTGGCTTGGCGACCTCTGGGGAAGAAGAATCAAGTTTGTGATTCTTGGTTGTCCTTCTGGCCGCCTCCTGAGGGTCCCTTCTGCCCGAGGACTTCAGGCTGTGTGGCCTTACACCATCTCATCCTGATGACACATGAACCATAGTCTTTTGCTGTTATAGCCATCTTGTAGCTCTGGATTTTCAGATGACCAGAGAGCTTTCCTTGGGACAATGGAGAATTCTCATAGAGGTTTTGTTGTCTCAACATATGAGCATTGTGGCTACCATTTTGCTCCTTTGTTGTTTGTGCTATTTTACTTGGATGACATTTTTTTTTTTTCCTTGCCAGTTTTATTTTTTTTCCCCCCTCATCCTGAGAAAAGTTTTGTTTTAAAAAAAAGAATTCTGCTTGGAAACTACTCATACCTTCTGTTTTATGAATGAGTCAACTGGTGTCAGGGTGGGCTCTTAAGAGTCCCGTAGTGGGTTACTGGCAGAGTTGAAACTGGAACTCCAGGGCGGGGGCCGGGGGGAGGGCTCTAGACACTCCACCCCCCGGCCTGGTCTTCTGTTCTTTTGGCCACACCACATTGTCTGTTAGTATTTCCTCTAGTTCCTTTTTCTTCTGAGATGTTCTTTATGACTTGTCTTTAAGGCATCCTTTGTTTAATCTTCTAATTTACTTAGACTTGTTTTTCCAGTAAAAAAGAAAAAACTACCTGTTCAAATGAGACTTTTTTCAAGAGGGCCTGACATAGACTTTTTTGGAATTTGAAACCTTCGTGTCAGTTCTATAAAAAGTTTTGTCTTGTTTTGTTTTTCCAGTAAGTCTGTGTTGACAGTGGCTCATTCACGGCACGGACACATGCTCCTAAGCTCCAGGCTTAGTGTCACTTAACTTTGCTGCACTCATCCTGTGGTTTCCTTTTTGCGTCCTGGATATTCAGATTGCACAGTGGCTGTTTTTCCTGTCTGGAGAATTGGAGCTGTGTTACTATGTCTCTCCACTTCCTGACTCGTAGTTAGTTCATTTAAGGATAAAGTTCTGAACAGTTTGGTGTTTTTTAACGGCTCTGACTGTGCTCCTGGTACCATCACGGTTTTCTTTCTCCACTTCTTTGACGTTCGCCTTTTCTTCCTTTGACCCATGTTAATGGCTTTTAGTTGCCTTGAGTTCTGCAGTTAGTGCTGACTTGCCGTCTTATGTAAAGCAGGCTTTGTTTTGAACATCAGCCAAAGAGACCAAGTTCTTTTCTTGTCTAGAAGGTCTCATTTTTCTGCGCCTGTGGTGTTCGCTTGGGGTGAGGAGGTGTGGGGACCAGGCTGGTAGAGTGTGCTCAGCCTGGGGATCCAGGCTGCCCCTTGGTTCTTCCTCCTGTCTGGGGGCATCTCATGTAATCGCTTTGGGATTCTTTGTGTGTTCTCCTCACTCTGTCTCACCTGCATCAGTAAATCAGAGAGATGCCTACCCCATCTAGCCCCGCAGAGTGTTTTGAGGATTTACTGGCTATTACTTAGAAACTTGGTACAGTGGGTATCTAGCTACACAGCAGATTTCTGTTAGATGTTTCTGTCCGTGAGTCCTTCTCGGGCGCCGCCCCCCCCCCCCCCCCGAGTGTGCGGCACCCACCTTTCCTGAAGGGAGTGCCAGTTCTATTTGGTGGCAGTTCTGTTGAACTGTTTCTAGGTGTTTAAAATTAATATACATAACGGGAAAAACAACTCTCTTCTCTCTTTTTCTTGGGATGTGCGGTGTCTTCACAGGCCTGCTATGGAATCCTCAAGGTCCCAGAGGGCAGCTGGCTGTGCCGGACGTGCGCCCTGGGCGTTCAGCCCAAGTGTTTGCTGTGTCCCAAGAAGGGAGGAGCGATGAAGCCCACGCGCAGTGGGACCAAGTGGGTGCATGTCAGCTGTGCCCTGTGGATCCCGGAGGTGGGTGCCCTTCTGGGCGGTTCAGCTCCAGAGCCGGCGGCTGCTCGTTCTCACGGGGAGCCATTCATTAATTAGCAGGCCTCATCGTAGCTGATCAGTAAAAAGACGCCTGTGAATTGCTGCTCCTTTTTCCACCTTAAATTGAATCTGAAGCATGCGGTCACCTGCTTACGGTGTGTACATTTGTAGAAATGTTAACTGGGAGCCACAGCTAGTTGGATTCCTGGGTGGAGATGTTCCGATTTGTCTTCAGATGCCATTGCAGCTGACCCTCCGCTGCTCACGGGCTCCCAGGAGTGGATCCATGGCGTTCACGTTGTGGCCTTCCCCTGAGGTGGGCTGTAATCCCCTGGAGCTGGCGAACCATGCAGGCCACACAGTTGTGGTTAAAGAACCACTGCTCTAGGTCACATCTGTGTGATTTTTATTAAAATTCTTACTTAGCTTTGACCTTTTAAATTTCTGGTCTGGTCTAATTTATTTCAAGTCCCAGACCTTGACTAATTTAATTTGCATGGCTCACTCTGAGAATATCATTTGTGATTCAAATTTTAGCATTTTTTGGTGTGTAATTTTGGTGCATTTTCCTGCTGAGGAAAAAAGTTACCTGAGTGATTTGAAGTGAGGCTTCAGGACTTGCGGTCTCACAGTTTGGTATTAACAGGATACAGTTCAGTGATCCAGGCCGAACACTGAGAGGGCACCTTACTTGTAGTATGTAGTAAACATTTCTGACTGAGGAGAATGGTTTTTCTTGAGAGAGAGAGAGAGAGAATGATTAAAAAGCAGTCAGTATTTACTTGCTCAGTTGCTCACAATGTGTTCAGTATATTTAAGATGGATTTCCAGCCTTGACCACGTCTCTGTGGACCAGAGGTGTACTCGCTTACCTTGTCCTGATGCATACACATCTGAGCTATCACTCGGGTGAGCAGTGAACGGTGGTATATCTGAATGTCTTTACAAATAGGATGTTTGCATCAGAAGAAACCCAGCCCCTCTCGCCAGGTGTGGAACTCGCCCCTTTCAAGTGGGATTTTACCTGTGCTAGGAGGGCGCAGGCCCCTTGGGACCCCCTGGTAGGAGAGTTGTGGGGAAGGTGCACAGCCTGAGGTTTCTCCTGTCCGTGCTCTGCCCTTGCCTGTCTGATGACCTCTGCCGCTCTGTCTTGCTGTGTCGGCCTGCAGGTGAGCATCGGCAGCCCCGAGAAGATGGAGCCCATCACGAAGGTGTCCCACATCCCCAGCAGTCGGTGGGCACTTGTGTGCAGCCTCTGCAATGAGAAGTTTGGGGCATCCATACAGGTAATCAGCTCAGTCGGGACAGTGTGCCCACCCTTGCCTGCACTGCAGGGCAGGGTTCTGAACTAATTCTCACAGGGTTCGGAGATGGGACTGGACTCCAGGAAGCAGGGTGAGGTTCCCACAGCCCTCTGAGGTTGCTGGGGGCGGGGGGTGCAGCCACACTCGGTATACACGTCTGTTGGTGGATTATAACCGGAACACCAGCTGTAAGCATCACAGGGCAGCTCAGAAGTCTGCCTGGGCTGCCCAGCAGTTCCGTCTGTGCCTGTCTCTCCTTGCTGCCACAAGCCTGGGGTCGTGGGGACAACCCTGGGGATGAGCTGGAGGCTTGGCACTTGAGGGACCCCACCGGTGTCTGAGGCGTGCACGTGGATTCCTAGTCCTGGTGCACTGTTTGGAATCAGCTTGGCATGCTGATGCCTTTGTGTTTGGTAAAACAGGGACTCCTTGGAACACCATTTGGGTAGGGGGCACCCCTGAGGTGCTGCTCCTAGGGTTCTGCACAGTCTGGATTTCTTATTTTTTTCCTGCTCTGTGTGTGGCAGGTGGGGTTGGGGTGGGGAGCCTGTATATAAAAGTTGTGCCTGCATTTTCTGTGTCCATGCGCAGGCAAGCGCGGAAGGTCATCATGTAGGAAGTATTAAGGAGAAAATATAGATGGCCTGGTGGTTTTTTGTGTTGTATAAAACGCTACTAGAGAAGTTAAATTCTGGGCCTTGCATTTTTGGCATCTAGACAGTCTTAAGAGGTCTGGGATTCTGTTCCACCAAGGTCTCCAAGTCCTGCCTGTGGCCCTGCTGGTTCCTCCTGTGGGAGGTGCCCCCCAGGGCCATGGCCTTACACCCCCCCCCCCCCCCCCCCCGCCCGTCCTCCCTGCTCCTCCTCAGTCCCCGAGTTGCGTCTTGAGGGTACAGGTGTTGGTTCGGGGTGGTGGCTTCTCTCTTGATGCAGCTCAGCACACTGCACGAGCCTAGTCAGACCACCAGTTGCGGGTTTGAAAGAAATGACCTCATTTGACAAAATCAGTTTGTATTTTGGCTGATAGATACTCCTCTCAGTAAGGTATCTAGTGAATGGTGGTTTTTAAAAAGTTTTCATTTTACACGCCAAGCAGTTGTGCTTTTCTTCATTATCACTTCCACTGGTGTTCAAGAATCCAAAATGTAACAAAAATATTCAGAGGGTGAGGCAGGAGACAGCTGGTGGGATTTGGCTGTGGACCTTGAAAATAGCGCAGATTTTTTTGTATGTGAATGGAATCTGCTTAAAACTAAAACATGACAAAAGCCTTTGGCCTGAGAATTGTATTCGGAGGACATGGAGGAGAAATTTTTTAAAAGCCACAAAGTAAAAAAAAAAAAAAAAAAAGGCCTTGGAGCGGGTATGTGTATGTGTGTATAGACTGCCCATGTGAACACTTTCAGGAAACAAGCTGTGCAAACCAAGGAAAATGGAAATCGTTTTCTTCCGAGGTACCTGATGTTCTGAGGATAGAAATTGCATCCTTTACTGAGCAGGTCCTTCACTGATGCTTACAGGAGGCAGGTGATTGTGATCTATGCTTCTCTTTTAAACAGAGATGATAAAATGATGGGTTTTTTTTTGTTGTTGTTGTCATTGACCTCTTTTTCCCAGACATTAATTTGAAGGAGGAGAGGCCAAGGAAGTTTGATTTTTCATATCTTCACAGAATAGACTGATTTTATTAAAGAATTCCTGCCTGAAATGTCTGCAGCTGGAAAGACTCAGCCTTACGTTTCTGTAACATCTGTTTGCTGAGTCAACCTGAATGGGAAAACCCAGAGGAAGGCCATTTGGCGTCTTTACAAAGTCCAGCATAAATGTTCTGCTGTGGAGTGTTCCTCCTGCAGGTCGGGGCGCTGATTTAAAGTGTTGTTGGCGCCAAACACTGATAGCGTCTCCGTTGTCTGTTCCACTTTCCTCCCCTCTTGGCTGCCTGCTGAGGAGGAGGAGCGCTTGGCCTTTTACTGATAGTGGCCAGGTGTGTGTGTGTGTTCTGCCACTAAAGCGGATTTCACATGTTGCTTGGAATTGAGGTTATTATTAAAGACAAAATTACAGATTTATGTTAGTTCATGTGCTTGAAGTGTGTACCCTTGGGGTAACTGATTTTCTGTGAAGCGAGCTAGATTTTCTGTACTTGAGGGTAGAAGAGACTTTGTCATAATGGAGGAAGTCATGACTGGTACTGAGTCCCTTATTAAATGCTGAAGAATTAGGGGAAGCAGACCCAGCCCCAGCCTCTGCAGTCTGTGATGATGCTGTGCAGGGCTCCATTGAATGACTTTAATTCAGCTTTTCAGCTGGCCCCAAGCCACTGGGTTGCAGGTTCTTCTCTTTTCTACAGCCCTGCTGTGCCCAGGATCACTTGGCCTCACACAATACCGTATTGCTTTTTAAGGGACTGGCTTCAGTCACCACCAGGAACCTCCTCCCCGGCATTCTCCCAGCACTGATCAGATGGCGACAAGTTAATCACTTTTCTCCTGCTAGGCCTCCAGCTTGCTGTGTGGATCAAAGGCACAACATGGTTCTCCTGGTGGGGCAGTGAGTGGGAGATGGGGCTGGGTAATGCCTGACCCCTGGGCTGACCTTCCTTCCACCTGCTGGCCGTAGGTCCCTCGAGGTTGCACTGCCAGGCACAGCTCACCCAGGTCTCAGAGCTTGGCCTCGTGGGCCTGGAGGCCTCTGCATCTGGCCGAGCTTCCCTAGGGTGCAGAGGCTAGTCTCATGCTGTCTCTGGTTCCTTGCATCTCTTTGGGAGTTTTTATTTCACCTCCTGGGTCTTGAGTGACCCCCGCTGCTGGAAGGAGTGTGCCACCTGTGTTGGGCCTGGTGGGCACAGGAAGGGCCCCCGTGATCCCGTAACATCTCTGACTAGTGTCCTTCTTGAGGAGATTCTCACTACTCAGGCTTTTAATATACACATTAAAAAAGCTCAGATCGATAAAACAAGTGAATGCCTCAGAATACACTCTGTGTACTGAGAACGTCTGCACGTGCCACCTGTATAATTACGTCCGCCTTATGAGGTGATTCTGGATGCAGTTGCTTTTGTAAGAGAGTTACTGTTTGGTTAATGAAAAAAAGCCTCCTGAATCCTAAGTCATAGCTTATTTAAAACATGATTAGATCTGCCCGGGGTCATCTACGTGAAGCCTTCCTGTCCCTGTGAGTGTTCAAGCGCAGCTCTTCCCATGTGTGTGCATGTGTGCGTGCGGGAGGCTAGGGTGCCTGCGTGCAGGGCTTCGGGTCCTGTCGCTCCCTAACCCCACCTCTTGCTGTCTGCTTTCTCGCCAGTGCTCCGTGAAGAACTGTCGCACGGCCTTCCACGTGACCTGTGCGTTTGACCGGGGCCTAGAGATGAAGACCATCTTGGCAGAGAACGACGAAGTCAAGTTCAAGTCCTACTGTCCGAAGCACAGCTCACATCGCAAAGCTGAGGAGGGCCTAGGTGAGGGGACCGCTCAGGAGAATGGGGCTCCTGAGTGCTCCCCGCGGGATCCGCTGGAGCCCTTCACTGGCCTCGAGCAGAATCGTGAGGAGGCCCACCGGGTCAGCGTCCGCAAGCAGAAGCTGCAGCAGCTGGAGGACGAGTTCTACACGTTCGTCAACCTGCTGGACGTAGCCAGGGCCCTGCGGCTGCCCGAGGAGGTGGTGGACTTCCTCTACCAGTACTGGAAGCTGAAGCGGAAGGTCAACTTCAACAAGCCCCTCATCACCCCAAAGAAGGACGAGGAGGACAATCTGGCCAAGCGGGAGCAGGACGTCTTGTTTAGGAGGCTGCAGCTGTTCACGCACCTGCGGCAGGACCTGGAGAGGGTAATAATCCACACCGACGCCCTGTAGTGACCTAGAGACGACGACGGCAGAGACGGCCGCTGCCCAGAGCGAGGGGCGGTAGCCGGTTCACTTACTCCCAGAACCTGTAACACCGCAGCACGAGGTGGCGTTGGTTCCGTATATTATGGGCTGGGAAACTCGATGTGCACACACGCAAGATGACCACAGAATGGGGAGCTTCTCTGGTTTAATTTTAAGCACCTTCTTGTAGTTCTTAACTGTTCTTCTGGGAGATCACATAGGGTGTCTTTTTCCCTTCCTTCATTCTAGGGCTAGAGGGAACAGAGCCCCAGGGAAATGGCCAAGGGCTGGGCTCAGAATTGTTGACAGGCTGAGAAGCCAGAGTGGATGTAATGGGGGGGGGTGGGGGCAGAGGTAGGGAGGTCGTTTGATCAGCCTGGGCAAGTTCAGGCTGCTGGTCACTGGCCCCCTGGCCCGGCCCTGCTCCTCGGCCTCCTCACGGGGCTTCCCCCTTGCAGTCACCGAGCAGAGCAGGTGTGGGTGCTAGTGTGTGCGCGTCACCTCCACACCGGTGCATGTCTCTTTCCCAAGGCTCTCCCGCAGCGAGGTGCTAAGTCGTCACTGAGGCTGTGTGTGTGTTGTCTGTACGTGCGACTGTGTCCACGTGTCTGTGCCGTGTCTGGTGTGGGCGCGGGGTGGGACTGCTGGTGCACAGAGGCCTGTGATCTGACTGAGGAGCCCCTGGGCACGCTAGCATGCTCCGTTTCACGCTTCTGGATCACACTTCTGCCCGCAGCCTCCGCTGGCGGCACTGCCCTTCTGCTGTTGCTACGTTGTATCTCCCCGGCTCTCCAGCATCCCTGGAGTCCCCGTCCGGACCTCCTTTCCTGCTACAGGAATAATCAGGAGCGGGCTGTCTTTCCTCCCCCCGGCCTCCTGCTCCCTGTAGGTTGCTTTTGACTGAAGCTCACTAATTGGCGATGCGTCTCCGAGCACCTTCTGCGGCAGCTCCCGATTGCCCCGCTGCCGACAGCCGGCTCCGATTAAATTCATTAGAGCACGGGAGATGAACGGAGGAGCAGCCTGTGCTGAAAGGCACCCAAGTGGCCTGAAACAGTTAATGCATCTCCCCCATGCACCTCACTCATTAGTGATTCACCTGCCTGGGAGAGAATCTGACTCAGAGCTGATTGGAAGTGAGAGCGTAGGCAACGAATAGGGATGCGTGGGAGAAGTACTGAACCAGAAAGCCCCGGCTCTCACGGAAACCAGCAGTGACCTGGCAGAGGAGGCATGTCAGTGAGAGTTCTGGTGGGCCTTCCTTAGAAGAGACGATTCTAGAGCCTGACAGTGACAGCCCACCAGGATTCAGGCAGGGGGAGGTGAGGGGCGCGGCACTGAGGCGCTCTTGCTCCCGTGCCCCCCCTGGTGGTGAGTGTGAAGAAGACCTCGCCTCAATCACAGGTCTGTGTGACCTTTTTGTTAGAGATGAGAAAAGGATTCAGAAGGATAAAGTGGAATCCTGGTGAGAAGCCTTGTCCCAGCCCGACAACTGCTGTACGTGGGTTTGCATGAGCTTTGGAGTCCGTCCTCAGGAGGGAGGACGAGAAGTCTGATGTTTGGACTGTGTGTGTCTCAATCACCACAGAATAAAAGTGTAGAAAATGCTTGTGGTGTACTAACTCTTCTGTACCTAAGATACTCAGATTAACACGCACTTGTAATTCTAAAGTTTTTTTTTTTGAGTCATCACTGTTGCTTTTTAAGTAGAATGCCAATGATGTATGAGAATAGGGAATAAATCAGGATTTTTGTCTGTGTGGCATTACTTGCATTTACTTTATTTTAAATAGTCTTTAAGATTTTAGGGCATAAAGTGTCAGTTGAAAATAATCTTATTAAAATGAAAACCATGTTTTACAAAATGTGCCACAAGGCCTGTTAGGGTGGAGGCTTAAAAAAAAATGGAAATCTTGGCTGTGCTGCAGAGAGTACAGTTATTTGTAATTATAAACAGTATTGGGCAAAAGACTCATCAGAGCAGGGGTGACAATAACATGATAAATTTGTTTGCAAGTAAGTTAGAGTGTTGGGTAATTCACACACTAGCTAGGTAGTGTAATTCACACTAGGTAATCAACATTTCATAGTGGTTAATATGAACGAGCAGGATCAAGGCATGTGGTCCCTTCAGAACTGACAAGTGAGTAGGCCTCATTAGAAATGCAGACAACGCTGAGTGATAATGGTGGTGGTTCCTGCAAATACACACCTTGGGGGCCCCTTGCACACCTGGGTTCCAGTTCTGGACCAGACAGGTGACAGGAATGGACTCCCAACGGTGTGGGAACATGAAGACACGATTACTGATGTGGTGGGTGCCATGCCAAGTTGCCAAGGCTGCCACTTCACTCTGGTGGGATTGCTCTCCCCCAAAACATTGTCTTCTGAAGGAAGCACTAAATACGAATTCAGCAGCAAAAGCAGTACTTTTCTCAGATAAGAATGTGCCACCTCTGCACTGGGGCAGTGAAAGCAGCAGGTCCTGGGGGACTGTTCTGCCCAGCATGCGGTGGGATGGTCACTTTTGACATTCTGATAGATGCTACAGTTGTCCATGAACATAGAAGGCAAGTTAAGCTCTAGTGTTGCAAGCAGTGTTTGGGATTCAAGAAAACTTTGAGATCATTGTTGGGGTCCTGAGGGCAGTGGTTCTCAGCATGTGGCCCCAGCATGTGGCCCTCAGCCTGCAGCAGTATGACCTGACTTTGGGACCCCGCCTCTGACTACAGAGATTCCAGATGTGGAGGCCAGCATTCTGTTTTAGGGCCATTACATGATGGGAAGCTCTGGGTTTAACATGGAATGAGATCTGGTTTTGGGTACCACCTCGCTGGCAACTGGGAGAAGATGGAGGGGAAAGAAGTCTGGTCTAGCGGGGCACAGAAAGGCCAGGCAAGGTGTGTGTCTTGACTGAGCCTCAGTTCAGTTTGATATACAGGGGCTGGTATAAGAGAGGTGAGGTTTAGGGCACTCACTGTTCTACTGTGGCCACCCAGGCCTGGGTTATTCAGAGGCTGATTTTTCCAATAGAAAACCCTGGGGTCATAGTTAGATGTCTCTCTCCTCAGATCATGGGGAATGGAAGTGTGGTTTTCCCACTTAGCAGCCAGGGTGGACATCTGGGAGAAGTTGCAGACACCAAAGTTAAATTTCAGTAATAGAGTGCAAGTTGTCTATTTCCATTGCTAACTTTAAAGAAAAAGAGATGTATCTCTATTGTACATCTGACTTAAATAGAAGAGTAATCTTATCTACTACTGGGCTGTCAGAGAATTTACCTTTCCTATCTCTGCAAGTTGGGTTCGCTGTCTTAATGTCTTCATTTGTTTTTCAGTAATTAATGAGTCTGTAATAAGGATCTAGGTTTGACTCCTTCCTCTTTTTGAGCTTCTACTCTTAATCTTCTCTGGGTGGAATATTTGTAAAGAGAATCTCACCCACTGGCTACCTCCATCCCCAAACTGGTCAGAATTCTTAAAAAGGACACCTACTTACTGGCCCGGGGTGTGAGGCTGTCAGAATGTGTTTTAACCAGGGTGAATGACACTGAAACAATATTTACTCTGAGATAGGAAGGCTGATTTTCTTCGCAATTACTTTTATTAACAAGTGTTAGAAAATTCCTAAACAAATAGTGAATCATTTGGGATCAAGAGAAGCCGGACTTGGTGTTCCTGCTGTTGGCCAGGAAATTACACCATTTATGATGTGTAAAATGCAAACGTGAAAGCCAGTTGACCTTGTGTCCTTTTGCAAAGGAGGCTGTCTTTAACACAGCTGGGGAAGAACAGATGGAATTGTGATGGTTCTTTAGGGGTGGTGTCTGAACATAAGTCAAAATTCAGGGTTGTGTGTGTCTTGTTGCCACTCGCTGCCAAAAGATGAGTGACCTTCGAGAAGTTGACGGGATGGGACTGCCCAAGTGGTGGGAGAGTACAGTTGTGCCTTTTTTCTCAGTCTTGCCACTGAGCTTACTGGGATGGTATTGTCCACATCTTGAAGACAGATTTGTGTATCTGGTGTGTTGCATTTGACATTTGTGTTTCCAGGCCCATGTAAACTGATTGGGTTTACCAATAAGTTTTAGGACTGAGAGATTGAAGAGAGTTTATTGACTAAGTCATTAAATTTGACTCTGTATTGACTGATCACAGGTGGCTTTGAAAACGGGGAACACATTTGTGTTGATTAGTTAGGATAGGTTAATGAGGATATGCATGCAGTCCCCCAGTGGTTGCACATCAGATGCCAAGTGGAGCACGTGGTGCTGGGCTCTTTCTGTTACTGACGGATGGATCAGGAAGCAGGCAGTGTCAGTGTTTCCAGCCCTGATGCAGAGAGCTGGCCTTGAGGCTGATGTAGCAAATCTGTGGCAAAGCAAGGACCCTCCCTAGGTGTTTGCTCTGTAGGAACAAATTAGCTATCTGTAAACTCCAAGGTATTTCAGAGAGCTTAGTGTCCAGTTGATGGAACTTCACTTGGATTCTTGGTGACGACTTGGCATGCTCGTGGGCCCCACGCAGGAACCTTTTTGTGGGGGGCTCTTCCCTGTAATGGTCCTTGACTTTGTGCTTTCCTAGTTGCACCTTCAGAAGATGCTTGATAAAGTGCAACCGGGGTGGCTTCTGAACTGCTCTAAAGCTTCTGACAGTGGAATTCATGGGAGGATATCGGGGGGTGACGAGCAGAGTCCTTTGGCAAGAGCTGGCACGCTTGGCCTTGGACACTGCTGGGCATCTCTTTGCTGGGATGAGCCGATGGCCAGGCTGTTGGCCCGGTTTGGTGTTGGGGGCATGGCTCCCTCCTACAGGCCCTTTCTGTGGTACTTCTTAGCATCCCAAAGGGAGGTCAGAGATTACATAAAACATTTATATTTTGATTTCAAGAGTCAGTCAAGGACCTAGTGGGACACATTCCCCCCCGCCCCCAGGTTTAAAAAAAAAGTACTGTAATAATGTATATTGCTCACTTAGAATCTTTATTCTCTACGTTCCAGGTTCGGAACCTCACTTACATGGTGACCCGCAGGGAAAAGATTAAACGATCTGTGTGCAAAGTCCAGGAACAGATATTCAATCTTTACACTAAGCTTTTGGAGCAAGAAAGAGTTTCAGGTATGCATTAAGCCCTGGTAGGTCAAACAACAGGGCAGGGGTTTGTAAGCCATAACACTCTGTTAAGGGGGAAAAATATGCTAGTGTCTTTTTAATTTTCTTTTTTACTCTAGAAGAATCAAAGGGAAGGCTTTTGTTGTTGAGGGAAGTCTCAGGCATTTGAGGCACTGTGGTCTAGGGGATGGGGCTATGGGTTCAGCCTCATATGGGTTAAATCCTATATTCCCTACTTACATGCCCAACACAAGTGAGTCTAAAGTTTGAGTCTCTTCCATTTCCTCACACGTAATGCTGGGATAAGATCTCCAGCTCCCTCCTGGGAAGACTAGTGTGAGACTCAAAGAGCAACTTATGTGTTGTAAAGCACTTGATAAATGTACAGTGTCTTGGTGATACCTAAAAAGATGTATTGATTATCTAGCCTTTGGGTCTACCTGTAACATGGTAAATATACCTAAGATTGGGTACTTAACGCACATATCCATGTTTAGATAACATTTACAGTGGATTATTTTGGTGTAATTGGAATTTTGAATAGTTTTGAGATTCCACACAAAGCATTTATTTAGTGCCGCCTATTTTTGCATTTCCCTGGCAAAGAAAAAACTAAGATATGGACTTCCTTCTCTTTGGAGAGCACTTCAGTAACTCTGAGATCAAGTGCATAGTGGGGCAGGTTGGTGAACCTCTCTGAAGTCTGTCCATCTGTAAGAGGTTTGGTCCAGAATTCTGGCCTCTGAAGGCCTTTAGGTGCTAACATTCTGTGCTCACAAGCCCCAGAAAGCAGGTGTTATAAGGATTTCAGAGGAGGAAGAGTGCTGAGTGTGTAGACCTACCCACTAGTAGGTACATCTTGGGAGCTCGTATCTTCTCTTTGCACGGCTTTCCTTGTGCACAGTCAACCGGCTTACTCTAACCTGCTTTTGTGGCTTTGTACAAATAATATGAGACATGGACTCAACAAAGAAATAATCATAACCTATTATGTTGACATTCTGGATTTACCTGAAACTATCTGGTTATATGTGACCATAAGTAACTGGTCAGCTGAACAAAGAGGAAAAAAAGCTTGGCAAGTTTTAAGAGATATCCTTGTTTTGATACCACTAACTTATTTAACAATTTTATCCTAGATAATTTCCTTTGCAAGAGTAAATATTCCCCAAATCTGTCAAGGTTATATCAATAGCTAAATTTGTGAGTTCAGTTGTAAAATTTTTGAAATAAAAATTTTCAGGTAGAGTATTGTAAATATTGGGTTGGCCAAAAAGTTTGTATTTTTTTTTCATAAGATGGTGCAGAAAAACCCAAAAGAACTTTCTGGCCAACCCAATACCAGCAGTTTGATTCACCAAAGTGAACTTATGTCTCATCATTCCTACTTGACTGCAAATAAAAGAGGGGGCTCCCCTGCCTGTGTCCACTTGGCTGGTGTGGCGTGCCCTCCCCCAGCAGAGTTCCAGGATGGCTAGCGCAGCCGTGCCCACGGGAGGGCTTTCTCTGACTTGCTAGGTCCTTATGTCATGAGTGATTTCTAATAAGTGAGTTTGCCTTGGAAAATAAGCTGTAGAAGGAAGCTGTAAAGAATACTTTCATCTGATTCTACTCATTTCTTACAGATACAGTAGGGCATTTTTGTTTGTTTGTTTGTATTTTATGGCAGCGTTTCTTTGGGTAAGTGGTTGAGCCTCTGCAGGTTAGGCAGTGATCCGTGTAACAGCTGTGATGCAGGCCTCTGTTCCACAACAGGAATGGGGGGCGGGGTCCTCCTGCCCCCAGGACTGAACGTGCCAGCTGACTGGCTGGCAGCCGTGTCCCAGGGAATGAAGTGGAAGCCCCTTAGGATGCCTTTTCTCCCCTTTCCTTTTTCCAGTTTTAGACTTCCAGTTGTGTTCTTACTTGTGCCTCACCTGATCTACCTCTTGAGAGAGAGGATTCCAAGCGAGGCAGAGCAGATGGCCATGACTTGAGTGTGTCCCTGGGGTCCGTGCTGACACTGTGCTGATTCTGGGACGGGCAGGGCTGTCCTGCTCGGGTGAGTGTCCTCAGTGGGGACAGTGCTGTGGGAGTCGGGAAGCAGAGGCTCCTCAGAGGCCTGGATCCCGAGTCACGATGGAAATCAGAGGGCAGTGCCTCTGACCTTTTTATCTCCCCACGGCAGGTGACTGAGTTAAAGACGTACAAATGTGGTGTGAAGGTTGACCGTAAGTTTGGTCACTGAGAAAGCAGGCATTTCTGTGGTCATGGTGATTCTCCCATTAGTCGCCAGCTCATTCCGTCTACACGCGGCTGTCCGTTCCTCCTCAGCAGCAGGTCCACGTGGGCTCCGTGCTGCCCTGGGCGAAACCTCGCTTCCTGGTGGCTCGTGGCTCAGGGAACGTGACAACTGTTCTGAGGCTCTGGAGACTTCTGCAGGAACATGGTCCTTCTGATGAACTCTAGCATGTTAGGGATTTACCCAATCTTTTTCAAACTGGGGGTTACAGTTTGTTACCGGGTTGTGAGATGCATTTAGCAGGTCAGCACCAGCATTAAAACAAGTGAAACAGAACAGAAAATGTCAGAGTGCACATGTCAGGTGACGAAGGCTAATATGGTTGCATGAAAAGTGCACTTTTACTGGGTTATGATTGTGCAACTTAGTTCTTAATGTGACTTGCATAAAAAGTGCTTGAAAAACACCAATTTAACTTATCCTTGTTTAGATGATAATTCAGTTTAATTCCACAAGTGTGTTGTACATTTAATGAGTAAACATATGTACTCTGTGCCAAGAATGATTTTAAACACCTTCCTTTATTCATTTCACAATTTATGTGTATGTATCCTCATTAGAGCCCTGTGAGGGATAGATAACTTGGAGAAAGCAGCTTAACAGCCCCACTCCCTGCCCCTGTGGTTGTGCTGCTCCCAGGCGGCAGGCAAGGCAGGTGCTGAGACTGGGTGGTGGTGGAGGCAATGCTTACTTGACCATGGAAAGATTCTGCAGTAAATCACGTATGAAAATCAGATCAGTTATTTTGTTTGAAGGCAAATGTATTCCTTGAAAAGACAGTTTCATGAAAAAAAATTACGTGAATTTAAGCTGTTTTAGAAAAGAGCATCTAGAGCATTCAGATTCTCAAGGCAGGTAGTATCTTTACTATAAAAACCAAATTTTTACAAACTGGGTGGTTGTATGTTGTACTGTTGGGTGGGAAGTCTGTATTAGTGGGCCATGCTAAGGGGTCTAAAATTTTATTTTTCTGGATTTGCTTCTGCTGTAATTTCTTTTTCTCTGGTTTTATGTTCACAGGTGTGCCTTCTTCCTCTTGCTCTTCCTCCTCACTGGAAAACATGCTTCTGTTTAACAGTCCTTCTGTGGGCCCTGATGCTCCCAAGATAGAGGACTTGAAGTGGCATTCTGCGTTCTTCAGGAAGCAAATGGGTACTTCCTTGGTTCACTCGTTGAAGAAGCCCCACAAGCGCGATCCATTGCAGAACAGCGCAGGGAGCGAAGGCAAAACTCCGATAAAGCAGCCAGACCTGGGGGGCAGAAGGGAGGGGACAGTGGGCCCAGAGAGCTTTCTGAGTTTTGAAAAGACCTTTGCAGAAGCACGGCTCGTATCAGCACAACAGAAAAATGGCGTGGTGATGCCAGACCACGGGAACAGAAGAGACCATCGTTTTCATTGTGACCTCAGCAAGGGAGACTTAAAGGACAGACCTTTGAAACAGAGTCACAAGCCTCTGAGGTCCACAGACGTGTCCCAGAGGCACGCGGACCACGCCAGAGCTGCCGCCTCCCCTGGGGCGGGGCAGTCAGCGCCGGGCACGAGGAAGGAAGCGGCGCCCAAGTGCAACGGCTCCCTAATCAAAGTGAACTATACCCAGTCTGCAGTCAAAGTGCCTACAACACCTGCCAGCCCAGTGAAGAACTGGGGCGGATTCCGGATTCCAAAGAAGGGGGAACGGCAGCCGCCGGGAGACGCCCCCGAGGGGGCCTGCCACCAGCACTCAGACTACCCCTACCTGGGCCTCGGCCGAGTCCCAGCTAAGGAGCGGGCCAAGAGCAAGCTGAGGCCCGACAGCGAGAACGACGGGTACGTCCCCGACGCGGAGCTGAGCGACTCGGAGAGCGAGGCCTCGGAGAAGAAGTGTGTGCACGCCAGCAGCTCCATCAGCAGGAGGACAGACATCATCAGGAGAAGCATTCTGGCCTCTTGATGAAACGGGCGTGGTGGTGCAGGAGACGAGAGCTCTGACATGGGGGGCGAGTGGAAACCCATCACTCCTGAGCGACACAAATACATTTACCTGCAATTCTGATTGAATTTTTTTTTCAGAGTCATTTTTAAATCATTGTTGTGAGAAGTGTGTTATTTGAAGCTTGTTGAGGAAACACAAGAGTAGATTGTAAGACACTGCTAAGACTAGAGGCTGAATTAAACACTAAAATAAGAATGGATGAAGTAAGTTTCTAAAGAGGGCTAGGCTGAACTAAGCCTCATGAGTGCTTACTGCCCTCTGTATCCTTCCCAAAGCACAAACTCATAGTTACCTGAATATATGGAATCAGAGATGGTTCTTGAGAAACCCTCACAAATCATTTAATAGCCCATAAAACTTATTTTCTAGGACTGTGGTGGATCTTGAAATCACATTTATACTTTGGCCCACGGACTGTTTTGTTGCATTGTAGTATACAGGCAGTAGCTCTGAAGCTTCAGTAATTCTAGGGGATTCATGTGTAAATATAGCAGATGAGGGAAGAGAAAAGTATTAAAAAGGTCATTACCGGAAGATCTGAAGGTACAGGGTAGAGCTGCCGGAGCTTGGAGATTTAGGGTAAATGGAAGAAGCAAGGTCCTGCTGCTGGCAGCTCTTGACTGTGTTCTGGATAGAGGGCAGGTGGAGAGTGAAGCCATCACATGATTCCATCCTTGAGAAAGGGCAGTTGAGGTCCCATCTTCACCAGTCCTCTCGACCTTTCTCTTCCCTAACCACTGCCTTCTGGGCCAGCTTGGGATTCCGCTGGCCATTGGCAAGACCTGGCCACCCGGCTTCCAACAACACAGTGGCTGTTCAAGTTTAAGCAATGAACTTCCAGACTCTGGCGACTCATATTTCCAGAGCCAACCACTAGTGCATATGCTGGGGAATCCGGCCTTCCAACATGAATGGATTCCTTGGGAGAAAAAAAAGAAAATGGAAAAAAAAAAGGGAAAAAAACCCCAAATAGGTTATATTTTAAAAATAATAGAAAGGCAATAAGTTGCGATAACCTCTTAACCCTTGACCAAGTTTATACAGGAAAGAGACTGAAGTGTAACAGGTTTTCTGGAGTCAGAGTTCTAAGCTCTAATTCGTAACTTGGACTTTCTGATTGCAAATGGCAATAACTAGTAAGTTATCAGCAATAATAAATTTAGCATTAAATTTGAGTACAATGTTCTGTTTTTGCACTCACTGCAGTGCGTTTTGTATTAAGACAGTGGATAGTGTTAAGGTCCTGTTAATTTTCTTTGGAATTCAATGTAGTTGTGAATCAAACTTAAAAGAAGGAAAATTAAAAGTAGCAATGAGATTTAGAATTATGGGCACTTGGAACAAGCCCAACTCCCCCTAAATTATACCTTAGTTTGTTAATACCAGTACTCAGATTCCTGATTCATTTATACTTTATTTCCATGTGGCAGGGACATTCTGATACTTAATGAGTGATGCTTTGAGTTCTGTAGTAGTTAGCTTTCAAGTCTTCCAGATGACTGTCAACAAGGAAAAAAGGCTTATTGAATTCCATCTTGCTATGCAAGTTTTATCAGATGATCAAGTAGTAGATCTGATACATCCCCATTGTATGTATGACATTTTCAAACTAAGTCTTAACTTTTCAAATACATTTTAGTAACTGATTCAGGGGAGGGGAAAGAATGACCCAGGTTTTTAGATTGACTATTTTTGAGCTATGGGGCTCATTTTTCAAAGAATGTTGTCCAGATAAACTGTTGCTACAGATATTAGAAGTTTCTTATGAATCCAAGTTGTACATTAACTCAGCATAATTTAAAAATCAGATCTTTTTTCTTTTTCTTTGCATATGAGCAAGAAACCTTTTGCTGGATACAGAAGAAGGTGGACTCTTTACAGTTCTTTTTTGACTACAGCAACAGCTCTGGGTGAGAGTAGGATATATAGAGGGATAATCTGTCAAGCCATAGAAAGAAAATCTAAATTCTAGTAAGTCTATGACCTCTCACCATTTATAAGAGGTACCAGATTCATTTGCACTATTAGGAATGCTAGTTTTGTGCAAAAATAATGCCTTACCTGTTTTTTCCCCACATTTAGGTTGAAAAGCTTTCAAACGTTCCAAGTTATGCTGAACCAAAAAGAAAACAAAACAAAAATAAACCCCACACAAAAACAAAACACACAAACACAAAAAGCCCACACCTTTAATTCCTGCTTCGAAATGCAAATGGTACAGTTTCTCTGACAGTGTAATGACAGCTCTGTAAGTCAGCTTCACGTCCTGCTGGGAACTCTATGAGGTGTATGAGCGGCAGCCAACCCAACCTGCCCACTTGCACTCTGAGTATGGAACCATTTGCTCTTCTTTTCTTCTTTTTTTAAAGCTTTATCTTTCCGTGTGCATCCTGACCAAGAAATATCTTTGATTATGATCAATGTATTATGTCAAAAATGTAGGCTAGTTGAACTTTTGTAAAGTTGCCTGGAATGTCATTTGTTAGGTTATAAACACAAAATCTAAATGAAGGGTTATATGTGTTGTGTACAAATCTTAATTATTTTGAAATGGACAAACTTGTCATTACATTTGTAACCTTGTACAGAGGATTTTTCACTATGTGCCTAGCTTGGTGTCCATTCAGCTAAAATTGGGTAAAAAAAAAAGGTGCATGAAGAGTTAAAAATCAGAATTAAACAAAAAGTATATGTAGAGATGACTATTTTATATTACATGGCCCAATCCTGTATTTATTTCTACCCCCTTTTTGAAAGTATTTATAAAACTAGTTGAGGACAGCTGTATTTTTTTGTTGAACTATTTAGTAGAATTTGTGCCTTTTTGTCTGTATGTGAATAAATGCTGTACATTTTGCAATACATTTTAAAGTGTCGTTTGAAATCTAGTTTTGCTGAATACTTAGATGCACATGTAGACAGTGTCTCCTGTGATGGTGCGTGTCGGTTGTCTCACTGGCAGGAAGACTGCTGGGTGCATGACAAGACTGGATGAGCACAGGCTCACGGAACTGCTTTCTGGTTCAGCTTTGACGGTGACACCCTGACAAATCAAGGTCTGATCTTGGTGTCCCGTTGCCGGGGTTCTTAACAGAATACAATGTTGGATCTGAAAACAACCAGCTGAAGCAACTTAGTCAGGTTGGAGACATGTGGGTTTAAAGGCTAAACTGTAGTTTACCAGCCACGTGACCTTTGCCAAGTCACCTAACAGTTATAAGCCTCAGTTTTCCCTTCTGTAAAAAGAAGAGTGACATCCTACCATCTCCTTGGGGTTGCTCTGGTATTTAAAGCAAGCTCATGGAGCATCTCATAGAAAGCATGCAGTAGGCAGTTAGTAAATGTTTGGCTGTCATGTTTATGATTAGGAATAAGAAACATTCCTCCAACATAATATTGACTGGTAAGCCTTCTGAGGCAAAAAAAAAATACATGTTGCTCCTGAACGACAGGGAGACTGTTAAAAATTATTTTTCAAAGAATGGTTTCATTAAATGCATTATTTTGGTCACAGGATTCCACAATATTAGGGCAAAAAACAGACACCTCCATTCTTTACAAAGAAGATCACAGCATTAGGCACTGGCAGTACTGGGGCAACCCCAGTTCTGGTTTTCTAGTCTGGTGTTCTCTCTGATGGAAACAGTCTTTACTCAAACCTCTACATGGAGGCATTAGCATGTAATGCAGTGCACCTCTGTGCTGGGAACAGCAAAAGAGGTGAGGGTGACACAGAGATTAATTCTCGTATATATTATGATGAACAGGAGCCACAGCAGGGTAGTGGTACAATTCCTAGCTTCAACTTTTGTAAAACTGGCCAGTGGTGGTTTTTTTTAAAAATAATAACATGAACTGTTCATCAATTTGGCTAAACACTTATTTCTCCTTGTTCCTCCTCAGTGACTATTTACTTCCGTGATGCTTGCTCTGAGTGAGACCCCAGAGAGAAATAACTGATTCTTCCTACAAGGTCTTCAAGTTGAATAACCACAATAGTTCCCAAGGGAAATTAAGTCCCCAAGAGCCAAAGGAAGGGCCTCTTGCTGGCAGCTGTGCAACACGTGATGGGAAACGTGGCGCCAGGGACCTGTGTTCGTGGTTTTACCCAGATCACTTAGAAAACAGCTAACTCTGAGACATTCGCCATCTGCAGCAAACTTTGCAATGAATTTCAAGGTTGAAAACTTCAGTGTGATTTCCCTTCAATGTTCAGAGCTGCATCTGATGATGTACTCTTGTCTGGGGCAGACCAGACCTTTGACTGAAAAAGGGTAAAAGCAAGTGTGTTATCTGCTTCCTCGACACTGACTGTTCCCTGGGCTGCTGAGTGGTGTCGCCGCAGTCCAGCCTTTCCTGAGTTCTAGTGGACTGCTTGTCGGGCACTTCCTCTTTGATGTGTGCAGGTGCTTGAGATTCGGGAACTCACCCTTTTTCTATACCCTGCCTTAACAGAATGCCATCCAGGCCTGGAACCTATGTGTATCTCTCCAACTCCTGTAGCCAAATGGTGATCTCGGTGTACATATTATACAGACTATCTCTTTAGTGTCTCTTGCTTCTTGTTTCCTGCTACCCGCTGCCGTATAGTTCAATGGCATTTCTTGCCTGGATTACTACAGCAGCCTCTATCTGGTTTCCTTGATTCAAGTCTTGCTCCTTCCAGTTAGCTGCAGCCTTGCCAACGCCATCTCCATAGTGATAACTTCCACAAAAATAACTGACTCTATCATGCTACAAAGTCATCAGGGAACCTCCAGACTCCTGCAGATGGTTACCCAGGGCTTATCAAACGACAGAAGCACTGCTGGGTATTTTATGTGCATTACTTTATTTAAAGCTCACAGCATGACAAGCAGGGATGAAGCAGCGTGCTCAGGGTCGGTAGGTGGTAGAACCAAGCGTCTCCAGTCTCCAGCCCCAGGACCCTGCTGGCTCTCAGAATAAAGAGGGCATTC